CACGACCTGTACGCGCGTCAGTCCCCGCGACGTAGGTGAAAGCACCGATACTGACAGCAGATGACCGCCTTGCAGAGGATGGCCAGTTCCAAGAACGACTTTGAGATCTCCTTCTCGAGCGCGAATGTGAGGCTCTTCCCGTCTACAACATGTACTGTCAATTGATGGCCATCGGGGGATGACCGTGCTGCATACCAATGACGAGCGCAAGGTCCTCCTGGTCCCCTGAATTCCGTTGACTCTTGAGCGCAGACAGCCGCTTCGTGATGAACTCCTCCGTTTCGTGCGCGGTTTCCTCGTTCACAATGACCTACACCCAAAGTATCAGACCACCACCGGAACCATTCTCGCCGAAGGCTGCAAACGCACCAGGTTCATCGACTCCGAGATCAGTCTACACGACATCCCGATGTTGATCGCCGTCTCTTGTCTGTCACCAGTCAGCACCCAAACCTGCCCGTCCAAAGCTCCGTCAGCATCACCGCTCAGTCTCGCGTGCCACGGAGTAGGACGCACCTTAATGCCAGCCATCTGCAGCGTATGGATCGTGTCGGGCACGCCCTCCTGGAGCTTATCCTCGATCGCCGTCGCGCCGAGGAGGAACATGTCGCGCTCGATCAGCTCCGCCGCCTTGTCCAGCGCGTCCCCGCGCCCGTTGATCGTCGCCGCCGCCTGGTCGTAGATCGTCACCCACTGCCGGTACTCGGCGTCGGGGATGTCGCGGTACGCGATGCACAGCGTTCGCAGGCCCTCCGTCGCGTAGTCCTACCAGGTACCGAGCGACGTGAGGACAGCGTGGACACCGGGACGAAAGGAAGGGGGGAAGAAAATACGTACCTCGAGGTGGAGCAGGGTCTTCTCGGTGAACGGCTGGTTTTCGCTCAGGCGCTCGAGGATGACCGTATCCGCGCCCTTGCAGAAGAGCTTGATCTTCCCGTCCGGGCAGCGTACGACGGTCGACATCCGCTTCCGCGTCGAATTGAACTCGCACACGTTCAAGATTTCGTACTCCTGCGACGTCCCGTGCACGTTCACGAACACCGACTTTGGCTTCCGGGTCTACGTGCCGCTACCGGTTAGAGCGACAGTGGATGTTACGACAGCATGCAGGACGTACGTGGAATTGGTAGCCGAGAATCTCCGCACCAGAGACCAGCGCAGCCTCGTCAGGGCTGCTCGCCTGGTAGTGCATCTTGCCGTCCCGGACCTCGGGTATGACAGTGTGGCACACGGCGAGGAGCGTCAAGAATTCGTACGCAACTTCGCGCTCGCCGGCGGCCTGCGCGCCGACGTCGTCGACGAAAGGGTTCTGCGCGCCCGATACGAGCGCACGGAGGTCGTCAAAGGAGCGCCAGACCTCCTTGTCGTCGTCGCCGTCGCCGCGATGCGCCTCGTCGACGACGTCGGCGTACGCGACGCCGCCGATCGAGCAGAAGCGGAACTCCATCTCGTTCCGGGTGAGCGTGCCGGTCTTGTCGCTGAATACGTACTCGATCTGCCCGAGCTCTTCGACGAGGGAGGACGTGCGGCAGAGCGCGGGCGTGTCCGTCTTGGCGTAGTACATGTCCAGGTCCGAGTTGATGAGCTGCGCCTGCTGGAACTTGACGACCTCCATCGTGACAATTAGCGAGATGGGGATCAGGTTGTTGTACAAGATAATGAACGTGAGGATGTCTACAAAAATTTCAGCATGAGAACAGGATCTTGTGCATATTGCTCCGACCTTCGATGAATCCCTTCGCTAAGAGGATGGGTTAGTGACACAGCCACAGTGCACACGAGAACGCGTACCTCGGCCAGATATTGACGCCTGTTCCAGCAGATACCATTGTTGACTGGAGAAGAACCACTGTTGGACGATGAGTGTACAACCCACGGATTGTCTTGGCGGGGACTACTCGCCGAACGGATACTGCTGCCGATAGTTGAACCAATGGAGAGCACGAGGAGAAAGATGAACAGGAAGACGATGTGGACGTTGACCTGGCGCTCCACAGCAGTCCGCTTGATTGGCGCAGCTCTGCATGTCTGTGAGCACGCTGGCTTGCATCGCCATGGATAACTTACGTTGCGTTGCGCATGAGCTTTGTCTCGTGACCGGTGAAGACGACGAGTCCATACGCCCACGGTGTGTTTCTGATCTGGGCGCCTCGCAGCAGCAGTTGGTCCGGGCCGAGTGGTACCTGCTTTGGAACACCGCCACTTGAGACAAGCTCGAGTGTGCCTTCATATGTATAGAGCGAGTTGTTTGGGTGCTCTGAGCGAAGCGTGCCGTGCAGGGACGTGACGAGATGCGGGGAGGTCAGGTTGGATGTCTGTGGAGAGGCCTGCTTGATTTTGAGGTTCGTCTCTCTGTGTCGTTGTGAACACACGTACACGGGTGTCAGCTAATGACGATAGGGGAGCACTTACCCGTCCAAATTGGATGTCTCGATGTAGCAAAATCCCTCTGGCTCACTCGAGCTGAGCAGCAGGACGTCCGCCGGGATAGGATCGTCGCTCTCGAGCCGGATCACATCGCCGACGGCAATGTCCTTCCACTTCTTCTCGACGAAGGTGCCGTCGGGCGAGAGCACCTTGGCCATGCGCGAGTTGAGCTCCGAATCGGACTGATGCCGTTTCTGCGGAAGGTGTCAGTATTTTGACGTACCGCGTACAGGTAACAGATGGTGCAAATGACAGCTGCGGCACATACAGCCCGCGCGCAGTCTCGCAGGACAGCAGACGGGCACAGGGCGCAGTAAGGGGGTTACTCACAAGGTCCTCCTGAGTCTCCTTGAACGCCGACGCTAGTAGTACAACAGATAGTGGTGCAATGGTGGTATATCGGTTCGTTGGAGAAACGTCGGGTATCTGCTGTATGAGCGCGGTGAAAAGGAAGAAGAGGTTGGCATATTTGGAGAATTGTTCTAAGACATGGATGAGTACGGCGCGCGCGGACCAATGGAGTGAGGATCGCACCGAAGAGGAACTTGGGGACGAAGGTGGCGAGGTTGTACTTGCTGGTGGAGACGTAGTTTGAGCAAAAGTCCGAGTTCGCGTCTGGATCGTTGAGCGCGACTACACGGTTCCCGGTGAGGACCTTCTCCTTCCTGTTCCAGGGCCACTTGAAGCGCCTCTTGAACGACTTGGACGGCTTGCGCTTGTGGGAGCTCGATGACTGGCCGGGGAAGGATGCGGAGCCCTGGAACGGTTTCGAACTCGGTTCGTCGTCGTCAAAGGACCACTGGTCTGGCGGGATGTCGTTCGGCAGGCTGAGCTGGGAGGCCCCAACGCCGGCAGGGGGCGCGCCAGAACGCGCGAGAGGAAGACCGCTCTCCTTGGACTGCATAGCGGCCGGCCGGCCAAAGGCAGAGTCGGGGACGTCGTCGTCATCGTCGAAGAAGGGGTCCATAGCCTGCGGAGGAGAGGAAGAGGGAGGGTAGCCAGAGTTCGCGGGCTGATACTGCTGCCTAGAGGCGGGATTGGCCTGAGAGACCAGGCGGACAAAGTCGTCGCTCATCGTAGCCAGCGATGAGCCCGAGCGTGAATGGAGCGAGGTCGAGGTCGGGAACAGCGCCGACACGCTCTCCGTTCCGCGCCCCCTTTGGGCTGCGCGCAGGCACCCTCGGGTTAGGGTCTGCCAGACTCGGCCACAATACTCAACGCCGGGCGCTTACGGGATTTTGACGTCGCCCTTGCCTCGGACCGGGTTAGACCGTGAAGGTTCCAAGCCTGGCTCACTTTACTCTGGGACTGCCTATAGCTAACACACACTGATCCTACACTGGTCATGAACTGCCTGCTCCGGACTTGTCGCGGCTGCCGTGCGCATCGTCCCCCAGCCCTCCGGGTGTGCAGCCCACGGCCGCAACGTCCGCTCTTTGTCGTCGAGCAGTCACGAACAGCATCTACCAGCGCAAATCCGTATCCCTTTCCCACTCAAGCGCACCCTTCTCCTCATCAAATCTTCCACCTCCCCAAGAGCGCAACCCGTGCGGACGTCAAGGCCCGCTGTGCGTATCTCCTTTCCTCGCCCAACTCTCTCCTCTCTCACCGAGGCATGACCAGACTATGACCTCGTCCGGATATATCACCCCGACTCGCCATCAGCTCGCGCAGGAGGCATTTCACCCGAGACCGCCCACGCCCGCTTCCAAGCCATCTCCTCCGCCTACTCTGTCCTCTCCGGCAAGAAGCCCGTGGCATCGCTAGACGGACCAGACGAGCCAGGCTTTGCCGGCGCCTCAAGACAGAGCTACCACGACCTCAGCACGGCCATGTGGCGCGCCCGACAGCGCAAGCGCGCCGAGCTCGACGTCGGCTTGGACGATCGCTGGAAGGAGCGCACGATGCTCGGGGCCCTCCTCTTGGTGCGTCTCAGCCCGTCTTGGCTGCGCTCGCCCTGCTCGAAGCGAGTCGCAGGTTGCGAGGGCCCCAGCTGATGCTCGGCACAGACCATCGGCGTGCTCGTCTACCAGACGTACACGACCCGCTCGATCGCGCTCTCCGAAGCGAGGCAGGCCCGGAGAGCGGCTTTACGCGCTGCTTCGTCGTCTCTACCCGACGCGGAAGACAAGAGCAAACTGTCGTTGGACGCCGCTCCACCTCCAAATCTGGATCACTCATGAGAGCAGGCTGCTGTAGAGTAGGTCAATCTACTACTTCTACCTCACGTCGGCGCGCGCACCAGTCCACTCGTAACCCAGAACAACCACCAACTAATGGCTGTACAAGGCAATGGCGCGGACTGTGAGTCACTGCAAATCTAGGTGTTGGAGGAGGAGTTATCTGCGCTGGTGACCAAAGCCTGCGCAGACAAGGTTGTACGGCAGGGTCGGTATGAGACTGGCTTCCCGACATGCAATCAGGTTCGCGAGGACTCTGGATGGGGAGGGTGTGATGCCTGGGCCACCTGTCGGAGTGACCTTTGAGCTATGCCAACGGGCCGCTGGAAGATCGGTGTACTCACGACACGATGCTGCACCCCGCCGAGAGCAGGAGGAACGGATGCGAAGCGCGGTCCTGTAGTGTAGTGGTTTATCACTTGGGATTTTGAACACGCGTCCGCCGGTCGGCCCCTCAACTAGCGGATCGTGGATCTTCCCATAACCCAGGTTCGAACCCTGGCAGGACCTTCCGACGCGTTCAGCTTGCAACTTTTTCGTTCTGTATCGTTGCAGTAAGATACATGAACACAGGGCACGGTGGGTCCAGGACGTGACGAGACACATGCTAAGATCAGCGGCCTATGCTCTACACGAGGAAGCTCAGGGTGACTCTTCTCGTCATGTCGACTGCGCCACAATGCCTCCCTTCGTCATATTCCAGCCCAGCTGCTCGTACGTCCACCCGAATATCTTGCCATCCGTGCTATACTCGTGGTATCGCAGCAGCGAGCGGTGCATGCCCGGTTTCTTGTGGATGGCGTCCAGAACTGCCATCTGCTCTTCGCTCAATTCCACCAACTGCCTCGCGGGTGGTATTCAGAAACCAAATGAGGGCGGAGTATGCGTCAGTACTGTACTCCGTTCACTGACAGTCACCCGGCGGCTCACGTTGATGTTCTGCCTGATACGCTCCGGGTTCTCGCTCTTGGGTATCACCGCGGTACCCCGCTGAACTCCCCAGCTCAGCGCTACTCGGCCCGGGGTCGCCCCGATGCGCTGGGCAATGTCGACAACGTCGGGGTCCTGGAGGAAGATCGGCTTGCCCTCGTACTCCTTCGGTCGTCCTAAAGCATGGGATCAGTATCGCATCGAGCGCCCGGGGACGCGCCCAGTCTCACCTAGAGGCGAGTACGCGGTGAGCAGTATCCCCTTCTCCTCGCACCACTTCTTCAGCTCGAAAGACGGCAGGCACGGGTGGCACTCCACCTGGTTCGCCGCGGGCACGACCGTCGTCTCGCGCAGGAGGACCTCGAGGAGCTTCACCGAGAAGTTGGACACGCCGATCGAGCGCACCCTGCCCGTGTCTAGCAGCGCCTCCATCGCGCGCCACGTCTCGACGAACGTCGGGCTCGCGTCGGCCGGGACGGGCGCGTTCGCCTCGGTGGCCGCCTGCGGCCAGTGCATGAGGTAGAGGTCGACGTAGTCCACGCCGAGCTTGGCGAGCGACTCCGCGAACGACGCGCCCACTTTGTGGTGGTGCTGGTTCGGGAGCTTTGTCACGAGGAAGATGTCCGAGCGCGGGACGCCGGATTCGCGGATCGCCTTGCCGACGTACTCTTCGTTGCCGTACCCGTATGCCTGCAGCGTTGAGAGCATCGTATCTACAGGAACGGCGCGCTGGGGGAGGGCTGCCTTACCGTGTCAATATGTCTGTATCCCGCCTGTCGACCCATGAGCCTCAGAGAGGTGATGTCTGCCGCGACACGGCGTACCTGCAGTGCAGTCTTGCACATCTGCTCTACAGTCTCCCCACCGCCGGGGGACCCCATCCAACATCTGCAATGAGATAGCCAGGTCAGTATGTCGTACATTACAAGCTGTACAGGGGTCTCAGTCGTGCTCACCCTATCCCTACCGACGGGACCTTATAGCCTGTGTTCAGAGTGAAGCTCGGTACGTTGGCAGCCATGGCGAACAGTCCAGGGCAACGAGACGACCAAGTTCAGGTCGCACGCCTGCCGCCCTTTATACAGGCGCGTTACGGGTCCGAGGATGACTTTGTGCGCACTGAGACCACAGAGATTGCGAGCAGGTCAAGAATATCCTCCGGACCGGGCGTTCACCTGACAGGAACCGGGCCGGGAAGTTGAATTGGAGGCATTGGCGGGGCTCCGTACTGTCCACATTTTGTGGGCAGGGAGCACCATCAAACGCAGGGTTTTCAGGGATTGCTGAGCATGGAAGGCATCGGTCAGGACGCGCATAGCGTTCGCCGCTCGGGTGTGCACGAAGAGCACCATGAGCATGCGTCCCCAGGCCATGCGGCGGGTGTCCAACGCAACCTTCAGGGAACGACTCAGCGATACTCTGAAACGTCAGCAATCCAGAACCCGCATCCGTGCAACGTGGCCGGTTAGAGGTACCGTCGTCGTCGCAATCGAGCGTAGTTGCGAAGAAAATTGATAGCAAGTCCGTCATCATGTCACCGCAGGCTCCGTTACGGTTGGCGGGGCACGACTCGACAACCCTCGTGAAGGCACTAAGTGGGAAAGCAGTCGACAACGGTCTTCCCACTCGTCGCTCTTCGTCCTTCGGAAGACACACCCTGGCAGGTCGGTGACGAATGACGTTGAGTGTCATAGGATGATGCCCAGAGCTGCGTTCAATTGTAGATCATCTTGGAGCCGCTGCACTGTCGGGTGACGATGTGGTCTGGGAAAAACCCGGTCAATATGAATACGAACAGTAACGTGTGAGCGTCCGCCAACAGCGGACTCTGAGCGAGCTTGGAGGAGCCCTTCACATTGACCGCTGTCTGTCTGCGCCGCATGTGGCAGTCGGATTCCGTAGAGTCAACGAAGGTGGAACCCTCGACGAGTCGCATGTGATATTAAAAACATCTATTAGCAATGCAGATAGCTCTAGTATACAGGGGACATAGCACCTATCGCAGCGAGAGCGGTCGATATCAAGGGGAGAAAGTAGCATACGATTGATGATAAGTCGACGACAGCGCCCACCATGTGTGTGTTGATGTAGGGGTACGCATCCTTCTCGAGCGTCCTGGCAGCGGACGTCTTCATGGACCCGGTCGGAGGGCTCCACGAAGCCTGCATGCAGCTGTGGTGACGACTACGGCTTCCGAATCTTCACACTCTACACACATAGTGGATGAGTACGATACGCAACCGGAGAGCATCAAGGGGCGACGCACGTAATCCCAGCATCCGGTCGCGATCACATTGACTCGTCTGGCAGCTTCTAGTTGCCCATCCTTGATTTCCATAGGAGCGCCTCCCCAGGAGGTCTGCCGACCCCATGCCAAGGACGACATGAACCGTTCGCCGGTCTCCAACTTGCGCATGCATCGCCCCGTCTTCAGCGCCCATATCCGGATTGAGCCGTCGTCCGCCGCCGACAGCAGGTATCTGCCGTTCGGATGGAATACGAGGCCACCTACCCACCCATGATGTCCAATCTGCGACGCAAGCCGTCCGTTATGAGATGACTCGAGAGTGCGTGTGCAAAAGCAAACACACTGAGGTATGCAAGCACTGTCCAGTCCTCGCGTCCCATATCTTGAACTTTTGATCGCGAGAGCCCGTCACTGCGAAAGCGACGGAGGGCTCCTCTGCTGTTGCGGTAGGTGCCGTTCCCGTCTACCAGGTGGCATTGAGAGCATCATATTAGACCTGATGGATACAGCAACAAGACACGAGTGAGAGCGTACCTTGACGCCGGCAAGTTCGGCGATTGCTGGAACGGCATTTCGAGGAGCAAAGATTGCCATCTCCACGACGTTGTCATGTCCTCTGAACTCTGCCTTGGTCAGACCGGTACCGCTGTCGATCACTCGGGCTGTCTGCCGCATAACATCAGAGAACGGTCCGACAACCTGGGATGTGGAGCATACGTGGTCCATACAACTGATGACGACGAACGGCCCGTTCGGACTCGGCAGAGCGGCTCGAATCCAGTCCGCCTGAGGTCTGAAGACCTTTATGCAGTGCCTGGGTTAAGGCGCATGTTTTGTAGCTCATTCCCATGATCGTCTCGCAGAGTACGCACGTTGTAGCGACCTCCCATATACGCACAGTCTGGTCTCGACTGGCACTGACTATGCGGTCGTCACCCGGAAGGAACCAAACGGTGGAGATGAGCGTTCGTGACCTCTAACAGTGGAGACGTTCTTGTACACGTTATCGACATCCCCCAACTTGATGAACAAGTCGTGCGACGCCGACACTGGTTCGAATTGTGGATGCATCGTTTAGCAACCGCGTCTATGGCGAGTGTGCACACCGCTATGCCGACCGAACGCAGGAATAGAGGACGCTGGCCTAGGTATTTTCCTTTCGAGTCGTAATCACAGTCACTGACGCGTCTGGTGTGGCCCTGCACGGTCCGCTCCAACTCGCCCGTGTCCCAGTCCCAGACCCTCATCGTGCTGTCGTCACTGGCGGATACCAGAACAGAATAGCGAGGATGAAAGGTGACGGCGTTCACGTTGGCCCTGTGACCGGTGAGTACGAGCTTGGGCGGGGACACAGTCGGGATCCAGTCTGGCTCACTGCGTTGGTTCAAGGACGCGGGGTTGGGGACGGTGTTTGCGTTGTCCTGCGGCGCCTGTGCGAGCCGCGACTCCAAGGCAACGACCTAGCGCAGGTCATGCAGCCTATAGAGCAGCCCGGCTGAGAGAGAGTGAGGATGGTTGCGTGCCTTCTTCTGCAACCGTATCACGCTCGTCCACTTGATCAACAGCCCGCTCGTCTTGGGATTGGCGTTTGGCTCGTAGTCAGACTGATAGATCGTTAAAAGACACTGAACGGTCGAACGCGCATGCGAAGATTCCTGCTTGAATAGCTCAAGGGTGTTGTGGTATCCTGCCGAGTCTAGGTAGTCTAGCATGGCAGGGTGTCTGTGTGTAGACTGGTGAGGACGGCATATACCACTGCGTGGTTTTATGGGCAGGAAACGAACAGGTCGTTCTGTTGACGGTCAGTAAGGTCGTTCGGCATCGCAGGCAAAACGCGAGGGTATGATATCCGTGTATGTTTGATCTCAGGTCGGCGACAGTCCCTAGACAGGAGGAAGTGCTGACGTGAGGCTCATGCATGCACTCCCACGACTCGCGCCACATGCTGTGACTACACACACAGGCCGTCCGTCCTGGGCCGCCCGCTCCCCCACCGAGGCTCGCCGGCCTTGGGGTGGTTCGAGCGTGCACAGGTGACTGCGAGTGCTGCGTGGCTTCAATGCACCTATGAGACCTGCCCCCGCCGGTGGACCCGCGAACCCACGGCCGCCATGAGCTGCCCGGGAGGGGGCGTCGTCGTGCGTGATCCGTCGATGCGGAGGGATCTACCAGAACGGTACGTGACCTCTGTGTGGCCGGGCAGGACAGACGCCGTGAAACACGAGGCTGCCAACCGCCTCGGCTTGGGGGCAAACACAGTGGAGTCGTATGCAGCAGCAGTACAGCACTATTTTTCGGCCGTCACAGCGAGTTCATACATCCCGTCTTTTCA